CAGCATTTTGCCCACCCCTGGAGTACGCGATCATTGCCATTTGACCGGAAGATCCGGAGGTCCCGCGCATTCGAATTGTAGTTTAAATTAGAAAGATTCATATTGTATTCCTGTGGTCTTCCACAATTTATCTGGTTACGATTCGCATTTCATTATCAAAGAAATAACTACAACGTACGAAGGACATGTAGAATGGCTTCCAATAACGAAGGAAAAATACATTTCCTTCACCAAACTTCGCTGAAAAATCATATTCGCGAAATTGTATGAAATTGCGATTCATCGATTCATCATCACAAATTTTTAACTGCCAGTCTCGACAAACGAACGTCTCTTCTCAGCATGGATAATTTGAAAATTATTCGTTCAAATTTTTCAAAGTTATCGATGGAAGATTTCAACTTATTGACGCGGAAAGGTGTCTTTCCATACGAGTACCTTGATTGCGTCGAAAAGTTGGAGGACACGTGTTTACCACCGCGCGAATCATTTTACAGTTCCTTGACCGGTGACACTGTATCCGAAAACGATTACGCACACGCTGCGAACGTCTGGCGGCGGTTTGCCATTCAATCCTTGGACGAGTACAGCGACCTGTATTTGAAAACAGATGTCATGTTGTTGGCTGACATTTTTGAAAATTTCCGAGACAAGTGTATCGAGAGTTATGGTCTCGATCCCGCGTATTATTACACATTACCAGGATTCACGTGGGACGCCATGCTTAAACATACGCGTATAAATTTCAAACTCCTCACGGACCAATGTCCGTGGTCATCGATATATGGTCATGTTTATCGAGCGCGGTATACGTGGCGGCCTGAGTCAATGCTCCGGTAGATATGCGCAGGCTAACAACAAGTATATGCACTCGTATGATCCATCGAAATCTTCCTCATACTTGATGTACTTTGACGTAAATAATCTATACGGATGGGCAATGTGTCAACCGTTGCCATACGCCGAATTTCGATGGGTTGACGATGTTGCAGATTTTGACTTTAGCGCGATCGCCTCGGACTCGCCCACGGGTTACATTCTCGAGATCGATCTCGAGTACCCGCAAAGTATACACGACGAGCACACTGACCTACCGTTCTGTCCGACGCGCGATAAGCCGCTCGGCAAGCGGCATGCAAAATTTCTGGCGACTCTATATGGCAAGAAGCGTTACGTCATTCACTCTCGTAACCTGCAGCAATGCACGCGTCAAGATCTTCGGGTCACAAATATACATCGCGTACTACAATTCGCGCAATCCGCGTGGCTCCGCGATTATATTGAACTAAATACGCAATTTAGAACGCTCGCCAAGAACGATTTTGAGAAAAATTTGTATAAATTGATGAACAACGCGGTATTCGGCAAAACTATGGAAAATGTATCGAAAACGCGTCGATGTAAAATTAATAACTAAATGGGAAGGACGATACGGCGCGGAGGCAATGATCGCAAAACCAAATTTCCATAGCCGAAGTATCTTTTCGGAAAATCTGATAGCCGTTGAATTGCGCAAACTCGAGGTGAAATTCGACAAGCCGATCTACGTAGGTATGTGCATTCTCGACATATCTAAAATCTGTTTGTACGAATTTCATCACGAGTACATGTTACCTTTATATCGCAACAGATGTAAAATTATGTACACCGACACGGATAGCCTTATATATCACATCCAGTGCGAGGACGTGTACGAGACGATGAAACGTGATATTCATAGATTTGACACAAGCGATTATCCTGCAGATAACGCGTACGATATTCCACATGTTAATAAAAAAGTGCCAGGTTTAATGAAGGATGAGAATAATGGTGCGGTAATGACAGAATTCGTCGGACTCAGAGCGAAGATATACGTGTTGAGGGTAGACGGTAAGAAAGATACAGAGAGAGAGAGAGAGAAGGCTAAGGGCGTAAAGAGTAACATGGTAGCGCGAACGATAACGTTCGACGATTACACGCGGTGTCTCAACGATGAGATAGAAATGACCCGCCAACAGACTTGTATAAGACCGAAGCTGCATGAGGTGTACACTGTAGACGAAACGAAAATCGCTCTCAGTCTGTACGATGACAAGCGATACGTTGTGCCCGATTCTACAGAAACGCTGTCATGGGGACATTATAAAATACCATTGAAAATATTTTATAAATTCATTTTATAAATTTATTTTATTTGTAATCAACATAGATATATTTTATCCACATCGATTATAATAAATGTATACCATTGTAAATATTTTATAATTTCATTTCATTTGTAAGACATGTATAATAAATGTATGCCATTGTAAATATTGGTAAACATTGACTATAGGGGAGTCAGCTCCGATGACCTTGACCTTGACATATGTTGTCAAGGTTACCCTCCTGAATAACCCTCAGAAGGTTTTAGCCGTCGCTCGTTGCTTATTAAAAAGTTATTAAAAAAACATTGTCGACCAATTATATGTAATTTTCAGACACAAATATTAAAAATTTTGAAAAATGTTTTAAACAAAAGTTGTAGACCTCTTTGAAATATACATTTTATGTTCTATTCACTTTTACTGTGAGAGTAATAGTTTTCGAAAAAAGTCATAAACTCTAAATCTTATATCTCTCCTCCCATCTCCATTTGCCGTAAGTCATGGAAGTACATGCATGGACGGAACAGTATGTTCCGCTCCCCCTACGGGGGGGCTCCACCTCGTTAAAATATAACCCTACCCAAACTATGTCCGAGGTGTGGATCTCGCTTCACGTGGAAAGTCGCAAACCCATGTGGAACAGTTCAACGGTGGAAGTACATGCGTGGAGACAGTATGTTCCGCCCCTCCTCCTGCGGAGGGGGCTCCACTTTGTTAAGATATAACTTAACCCAAACTATGTCCGAGGTGTGGAGTGGATCTCGCTTCACATAAAAAGTCGCGGTAATACTGAAGGAGAGGGGCCTCCTCACCGATTTTGATGAAAATTTACAGGATCGTGTATTTTTGCCTGTAAAACAAGAATCCGCAAGTTAAAATTGTCGCTCGGCACTAATAACAGAGTTATAAATTGTTAAAGTCTTGACAGTCTATGTAATTTTCAGACACAAATATTAAAAATTTTGAAAAATGTTTTGAACAAAAGTTGTTGATCACTTTAAAATATACATTTTATGTTCTATTAATTTTTACTGTACAAGTAATAGTTTTCGAGAAAAATGATGGACTCTAAATTTTATATCTTTCCTCCTATCTAAGCATGTACCTTACAGTACATGTATACGATTTCACATGGGTTTGCAACTTTCCACGTGAAGTTGCTCGTGTCTTTAGCACGGCGCGCTGC